CTGCGAGCGAGGAGCCGCCGCACTGACGAGACTAGAAAGATGAGACGAGACCGACGGTTTCGCACGGCCCTGGCTTTGAGTAAGAGAAGGGGGAAGCAAGGGAGGGAGGGAGGGAGAGCTTGAACCAGAAACCGAATTACGGCACACTCGTCAGCTGGCGATTGCTTCTACTTTGAAAAGAGGACAGCTCCGCCATCCCCCCCGTGTGCCAGGAAAAGGGGACCTCAAAGACCTGCCACCTTTTTCTTCTGCGTGGTCCACCCGGCGGAACGGCGAGCTCAGACTGCGAGCGAGGAGCCGCCACGCTGACGAGACTAGAAAGATGAGACGAGACCGACGGTTTCGCACGGCCCGAGCCCGAAAGGTGGGACTGGCCCCTAGGCCGAACTAACAAAAACAAGATTCAAACCCACTCTATACTTTAGCCTGCAGGGGAAAATCGGCAGGCTTGACCCCCAATGCCCAGGAATGCGTATTGAGGCTATGGTTGTTTTCAGCCACGAGGCGGAGGGTGCGCGCCAGCGTTCTGGAAAGCACCTTGGGATACGAGGCGGCAATGGCTGTCCTCTTACGTCCGGTGGCAGGGTCCACGCCTTCGAGTATCAGATGAGGCTTGCCGGTGACCGAGCACAGACCCTTCTGTCCAGTGCACCGTTGATGAATACACGGGTGGAACCCAGCTCCCCACATCGCAATTCTGGTCCTCTTTCGCCAAGGAGCCCCAAAGCGACACATATCCAGTAGATGAACATGGCACTCAGGATGATCGAGGAGAGGGCCCAGTGAGGGGGCATGCCACGTGACGGAGGACGCGGGGTTCTCGAGGTACACTGGGATCCCAAGACGGACGCAGGTCTTGATGACGTTTACGGAGAGCTCGAAAGTGTCGTTTCCCACCTGGAGCCTATCGAGCTCTGACTCGGTGAGGTCTGCAAGGCCCATCGGGGCCTGGATGGACCTGAGAGGCTTTCGCAGAGCCCGAGACCACGTAGTGTACGGAGTACCCAACCAGACGCCCAAGATCATTCTACCCTGGAGCCACCCACGGATAGTACTCCAAAAAGCCGGACTGAGATGGTCCTCCAGGGGCCCGTTGTTGATGTCAAGAGACACACAAGCGTACCCAGCCGCCCTGAGGGCCCTACCGATCTGGCCTGAACCTGCGAACAGCTCCAGGAAGGCGAAGCGGCGGAGGCGGACCGCCAGGCGCAGCTCGGAGGCCAGGGCGCCCTTGAGGTGGTGGATTACCTCCTGACGCCGTGGGGCACCTCCGTGCGCGCCGACGGCGGCACGGGCAGCCCGTGCGTCAGCGCCCCCATAGCGAGGGGCGGCGTGCCCGCGGGCAGGCCGCTGCCGCTGCGCAGATCCACGAAGCTCAGGTCCAGGACGAGGTCGTCCGGCTGCAGCGTCGCCCGCGCGCAGGCCAGCGCAGGGCGCAGCCACGCGTCCATGTCGATGACCACAACGTCGTCGTGCACTCCAGTCTTCCCCGCCCGCCGGAGGGTGGAGTCGTGCCGAAGGATGAGCCAGTACTGGTACTCGGGCCCCGCCATCACCGCGGGGGCAATGAGGTGACGAGCTCGCGCTTGCAACATCTCCTGCGGCCTCAGGTAGCACACGTGGGCGACGGCGGTTAGCAGGGCAGCCCGCAGGAGGCCGCGGTGGATTATGTAGCCGACGATCGCGCCCATGGCCGCCCGCGGCAGGGGCAACCGCGTGAACGGCGCGGCACGGCGACTCCAGCCCAGCATCGCCCGAGAGGCTCGAGGGGGCAGAATGGCCCCTGAGCGCCCCTGCCCCGGCAGGAAGTGCGCCGCAGCCGCCAGCGCGCCGCCGCCGACGTCGGTCCCCAGCCCCTTCCAGTACAGGCCGTTGAAGATATCGACCAGGAGGCCGTCGAGGGTGGGCCCGTCGCGCCAGTGCAGCGCCAGCCCTAGGCAGAAGCCGTGGAGCCCCTTCAGCATCGACCTGTAGAGGGTCTCCGTGGAGGGAGGGATGGCAGGCCGCTCCAGGGGGGAGAGCCCCCCAAGCGGGGGCCGCCCCCGCACCGCTGCCGAGGCCGCCGAGACGCGGAGGGCCTTCAGGAAGGTAGACCTGCCCCCCGATCTGCTCGCCGCCTGCAGTCGCCCAAATGCCGGGCGGGCGCGGGGCATCTGCTGCGGCTGGCACTTGTAGCGAGCTGGGCCGGGGGAGCCCGGGCGGGGCCCCCAAACGGGGGGCCCTGTGAGCCGATGTGCAAGACGAAGGATAGCGTCTGATAGCTCGGGGCCCAGTAAACCAGCCAAGCCTCCCCCTCGAAGGGGCATCACTCACGTTTCCCTCAGTGGGCACCCATCTGACAATAAACCGACACCCAGTAACCAGGGACAGACAAGCGAGCTTCGCCAGGCAGGGCTTGAGGAACTTCGATCTGGCACGACCCTTGGCGGCCCCCAAGGCTAACGGAATATTATCGACGATGAACAAAAGACGGCGACCAAGGGCGCAGTTGCTGCGTAAGGCGCGGCATATGGCGAGGATGAGGGCCCCCCCCTCCAGGGCTAAGATGTCGGTGCCGACAGATACCTGGCAGGCAGCGATGTGGGCCCAACTGTCGGGGTCCATGAGCTCCTCAGGGACCTCGTCGAAACGTCGGGCCGCTTCCTCCAGGTAAACGGGGCCTCTGGCACAGGCAGCGCTGCTACCGCTGGGGGATCGGAGACCGGGCGGGGTAGACGAGACGGCGAGGGCAGCCTCCCGGGGGCGACAATGCTCTTCGACTTTGTATCTCCACCGCTCGCACAATCTCCCAACTGCGCCAGCATCACGAGGACAGACACGCCGGACACAGGCCCCAAGGCCAAATGGGGAAGCATCTGAGGCGTGCACCTGGTCGCGCCACTCGGCCCCCCACTCAACTGCAAAGAGCGGGGGGGCACATCGCAATCTCCAAAGCTCTTTGCGAACGCCAGGCCAGAGGTCGACAACGTCACCCTTGTTTTTCTCGATATAGGCATAGACGACATCTAAAAAACTGCGAGCTTCCCTCCGAAGTAACGCAGCCCAAGTAATATGTCCAACCACCACCTGCAGAAGAGATCCGCTGGCGCGCCCGCGCCTGAGGATCTCTTCTAAGGCCAGCCGTAGTCTCCAAAGACCTCGTCGACGGATAGAGAGCCTCTGGCCCGAATTAAGCTCCAACCCAAGGCAGGGCGCGTCTTTCGAGGCGGGCTCCAGCTCGTGGACGACGAGGCCCTTGGCTTCGAGGGTGGAGCGAATTCGGGACACGGTCGAGTCCACGGCGTCGGGGCTCTGGCCGAGGACAACGAAGTTGTCGACGTAGCCCGCGACTCGCACACTCGTGAAATCGTCGATCGGGGAGGCCAGGTTGCCGCCCACGACAAGGTTCGACCCATCGATGCCGGCGTCGCCCAAGGCATTCAGCAGCGCGGACTGGGCGATGTGCATAGCCCAACTCCACCCCATGGGGAGGATTGTGAGCACGGGTTCGAGCGCGGTCCCTGGTCCCACCTTGTGGCCTTCGACCTCTGTAAGCCCAGCAACTCCGGCATCGATGGGGGGGGGGCAAAAAAATCCTGAAGCTCTGCCGGCAGGCCCATGCGATAAAAGCAGTTGTCAATGTCACCTGATCCTACAAAAACGGCGGACCCCAGGGACTCAACAGATCCAAGGGCCGTTGCGGTGGGAAGACGGGTGGCAGAAGGGGTCTTAAAAAAACAAGTGGCAACACGGGCATCGAAAATAAGCCTGAGCTTGCCCGACTTTTTCGCTACGAAGAAAACACCAACCTTGCTGGGGCGGCCCGTGGCGAGCTTCAAAGTGGCCATCCCCCGGTCGACCAGCTTACGAATGAACGCAGCGCACCGAGCAGGAGACGAGCTGAGAGGCGGATCCACATACGGCCCCAACGGACAAGCTTCTCGAATCAAGCTTCGAGCCTCCTCAGAGGGCCTTAGCAAGTTCTCGTGGGCACGACCGATCCATTCACAATCGCCAGCGCTGAGGAGATCGCCCAGCGGAACCGGGCAAGTCCCCTCGTCTGGCCAGGAAACAAGCTCCTGGGAAAACGGTCGCCTAGTGGTCCCCGCAGAGTCGTGCAGACCACTAGCGGCGCAGAGCTCACTCAGGGCCCCCGCGCCAGAAAGGAGGTCAGCTGGCTGGGGGCCGGCCTCTCGAAACTGCTTACCTATGCGATCGAGGACGTTCCTCTGGCAAGAGGTCGGGTTCGCAGAACGGCAGGCCGGCCCAAAGCCGTAAGCGCTGTTGAGGGAGGAGATGGCATCGTTGGCCCAGTCGACAGAACGCTTAACCTTGCGACGGCGTCGGATGACGCTCCTACTCACGTCGGAGGCACCCGGGCCAGGCCTACTGGGAGAAGGGAGAAAAGGAAGGGGAAAAATGTCTCTGGCACGAACAGAGGCAGCGCCATCAGGGGTCGTACCCGACCGTGGCGCCCCGGTCGGAGAGGGCTCATACGTCTGGTCGCCGCACACCGGTGCCCTTGTCCCGGCGTCGGCGGGGGCATTCACCCCTGCTCTTTGCCCCCCGCCTTCTTGGTGCTGCGAGGCTGGCGGTTGGCAAAGCGCTCTTCCCGAGCCCTTCGTTTTTTTTCATCGCCGAGACCTCCTTGGCGTGCTCCTGCGCGATCCAATATTGCAGCTGTGGGGCCACGCACACGTTGCCTTTGGCGAGGTCCGAACCCAAAAAGAGGTGAGAATCAACTATGTCCTCAGACCCGATGATGCGAACCCTGTAGCGCTCATCCTGCACCTGAAGAGAACGCCCCAACCACTCGAAGGACGCGATCTCCGTGATGTTCAGCTGGCCATAGCAGGCAGCCGTCTCCACTGCCATACACACGCGGAGGTGATCCTCCACCCCAGGCTCAGAGCCGTTGAGGCGGGCCTCCGCCATCAAGCAATTGTGCCTGGCCACAGGCGACCCGTCGTTGGCCACGATGAACTTGCTGACCAAGAGTAGGGCGCGGCCCGCGCACGGGCCAGTCCGCAAACGGCGCGACCGTGAGAATGGTGACGGCAGCCCTGAACACGCGACATCGCACACCCTGAGAATCGACCCCGATGGCCTGCACCCGCAGGTCATAGACGGGGGCCCCAGCCACGCCACCGCCACCTGGCACCGCTCCAGCCGCCAACGGGGGGCCTCCTCCTGGGGCCGCCACGGGGGGTGCGGCCGCCTGGTCTGCTCCTGCCGCCGCTCCTGCACCAGCAGCCCCTCCGGCGGGGGGGGCGGTAGCGATAGCTGCGGCGCTGCCCACCAGGGCCCCAGCAGGTGCGGCCGCTGCGGCCGGCACGGGTGGGCCCGCGGCCGCCGGGGGCACCCGGGCGCCCGCTGGGACGCCAGCTGCAGCAGGCCCCCCCAGGGCGGCGGCCAGGGCGGCCAGGCCTTCTCCGTCGGGCGCCGCCGCGCCCCCGGGCGGCGGGCACGGCTTGGGGACCACGACCCTCTCGTGCCACAGAGCTGGTCCAGGGACGTCGTACCTGACAACGAAGAAACCGCCCTCGTCGAGGCCACCAGCCTGCACGGGCATGCCGGCCCCCACCGAGAGCGGCCGCCCAACCGCGCTCTGCGAGAAGGGCTCGGCCGGCAGGGCGAAGCCCAGCCGCGCGGCTCCCGCGGCCCTCGCACCACCCAGCCGAGCCGGCAGCGGCAGAGCGCGAAAGCGGGAGACTGGGGCCGGGACGACCGCGCCGCCGGCCAGCGGCGGACCGCCACCTTGCATGCCCTGGGGCAGCTGCACCGTCTCAATGATGTCGGCCGCCACGGCGGTGTCCTCGTCGTAGTCATCGTTGTATGGAGTCGGAATAGTGTACACTCCTGGCCCGGGCATGGCACCCGCCATCACTGCCCCTCAGAGCGAGAGCTTACCCGCCGCTTCAGCGCCAGAGCCTCCAGCTGCAGCCGGGCCTGCTCCGCGATCGGCTCCACCTCAATCGCCTTCGTAGTCACCACTCGGGCGGGGTGAGGCGCGCTTCGGGCCGTGGAGGCCCACGCAAGGGGTAGCCGTCCGATCACGATGCCGATGCTGACGAAGAGGATGCCCCAAAGCAGCGAGCCCAGCCAGGAAGCGCCGTTCGCCTCCTGCTTGATCACGTCGCCGCAGCTGACGGTGGGGCAGCTCGAGCAATCACAATTGACCACAGGCCGACAATCAGGGCACGGGACACGGTTGGCCCAGGAGAGGACGGCCGCTGAAGCGGAAGCGATCAGAGAATTAGCGGCACCCTCGAAGAGCGCCTTAGCCCCGCCCAAGACGGGCATTGGGGGAAAGAGCTTGAACCAGAAACCGAATTACGGCACACTCGTGTATATATATATATATATATATATATATATATACATATATATGTATATCAGATCGCCCCCTTCGTCACCGGGTACCCACCCATCCAGGATACCGAGCTCTTTGCTGGGACTCTTGATGGCATTCCAATAGCCGTGCTTCACTTGGGCGAAGGCACTCAATAGCTCTTAGGCCCATCATGTGGACTTGGTCCTGTCGCCAGGAAACGCATGTATTAACCGTTGAGCAACCGTATATGCGCTCGCCGACTTGTCCCCGCCCCCGCCTGCCGCGGCGGCCCCTGTAAACTGCACTGCCTCAGCAACGTTGGCAGCGTGATCCGAGGTGTTCGCTTGAAATTGGGACTCGTTCCTGAAATACTAAGTCAAATAAATGAACTTTTCCTCACAGCGCATGCTGCGGCTCATAACAGAAATATGGATGACGTCCATTCGTTGTGTAGCTCATCTGCAACACTGTGAATGCGTCATGGTCGCCAACAGTCCTGGCGCCATGCGTGGCAGTGCGCTCGACAAAAACACACACACACACACAAAAAAAAAAAATGCACGCCTTCGGGGTTGGCGCCGAACGCATCGTTGACGTACCCGGAAAACCCGCCCTCGCAACGTGCGTCGCATAGGTCTGCGAGCCGCATCGCGCCCAGATTGCACAGGGCTTCAAGCGCGTCAAATACCGGACCATTGATGCCGAGGCTCGCCGGGGCAACTGCAGCCGCCGCCGCCATCTCAATTCTTAAACCTGCGGGGCAAACCGCGGGCCCCGCAACCGCGAGAATCTGGCAGGAGCCTTTTTTCGCGAAAAGGAGAATGGCACTTGAACCAAACAAGGTCGGCGACGATCACTGCGCAGGGAACGCGTAATACGCGCGGCATTTCTGCTCTTCCACACTGCATCTACTGCCGAGCAAAGGTGCCTATGAAATAACACCTCCGCCTCCTCCTCCCCCCCTCCTCCTATTCCTCCTCCTTCTCCTCCTCCTCCGCCTCCTCCTCCTCCTCCTCCTCCTCATCATCATCATCATCATCATCATCATCATCATCATCATCATCATCATCACCAGCATCATCATCATCATCAGCATCATCATCATCATCAGCATCATCATCAGCATCATCATCATCATCAGCATCATCATCATCATCATCATCAGCATCAGCATCAGCATCAGCATCAGCATCATCATCATCATCATCATCATCATCATCATCATCATCATCATCATCATCATCATCATCATCATCATCATCATCATCATCCCTCCCCTCCTCATCTCCCCTCTCCTCCTCCCCTCCCCCTCCCCCCCTCCCCCTCCCCCTCCTCCTCCTCCTCCTCCTTATCCTCCTCCTCCTCCTCCTCCTCCTCCTCCTCCTCCTACTCCTCCTTCCTCCTCCTCCTTATTCTGCTCCTCCTCTTCCTCCTCGTCCTCCTCCTCCTCCTCGTCGTCGTCCTCCTCCTCCTCCTCCTCCTCCTCCTCCTCCTCCTCCTCCTCCCCCTCCTCCGCCCACCACCCCTGGGGCCGAACTCACGAAGGTTGGGAAGCCGTCACCCAGCACCGGCGTCAGCAGCTCCTCCGCACGGGGGAGCGGCGCGTCGCCGCCGTCTCGATGCCGATGCTTTGGGCGTTTCTGGATCTCGCCGCCGAACCACGGAACTGGCCTAGGGACTGACTGGCTTTGACTGGACTTTGCTCGGGGCGAGAGGGGAAAAGGATGTGGAGTTTGTGGTGGGCGCTGAGTGGGGAGCGTCCGCAGGGTGACGAACGCCATCAGGCTACAGAAAGGCACGGATGGGTGGCGCATCCCCTTTCGTCAGGACCACTTTCGCCACTGCTTCGCCTGCCATGTAAGCTGGGTAGAAGCTGAGAGAGAGACCCCACATCAGCAGAGCAAAGACTGCTCATGTCGGTGCCCATCCGAAGGGGCCCCAGCGCGAAGGCCACCAAAACTCTTTCGGTAGGAATCATCGACGGCCAAAAACCAGGCGCGGGGGGCCTGGAACACTCCGCCGACCCCCGCTTGCCGGGGGTGACAAAACTCCGCTGGGCCCTCGAACAGCTCTCAAAACGCCCACACAAAAAAACATAATGCGCAGAAACCTACGAGGCCTCAACCGTGAGCTCTAAGCCTCTTCTGGGGGTCGGCGGAGTTTCGGAAACTTCCTCACAAACGAATTAACCCTTCACGGCTTCACTCGTGGACGGGTAGCGTCCACAAGCAAATCGGTCAAGTTGTCTTACCTGCTTGTCGCGGGTCGACAGGGCCTTCGAAGGACCACGACCATGTTCCTGGAGGGCTCGGGGCACACCCTGGGGCAGGAGAAGGAAGCCACCGCAAACATTGCATGTACAGACACGGCCAATGCGAGTTGAGCTTATATTGGTGGCGCGCCACAGGGGGGGAGGGGGAGGAGGGAAGGTTTCTTAGAAAGAGCCTGTCTCTTAGAAGGCCCTGGCCATGCATCTGCGGACAAAGCCCACGCCTTTTAAGAATCAGGGTGCTTCTAAGAAACCTTGCCCTTTTCCCCATATACCCCCTTGCGCGCGTGGTTGGACAATGACCGCCAGCACCCGCGGAGTTGGGCGGGATCTTCCGAAAGAAAAAGCTCCTGGGCGCGCGCGCGTGCGCGGGGGACTCCTTGGCCTGATCGTAGCTCGCGAGCTGCGTCATGCTCACCACCGCACCACGACCTCCCGATGTAAACTTCGCGGCGCGCTAAACGGGATGGTTCGAGGGGTGCGGCCTTCTACGCAAGCCTTTTTGGGACATATCAGCCAGCGCTGACTCTAAATAGAATAAACGACTCATATAAAAGTATCAGAAGAATCAAGCATGCTTGGAATCCGCAATTTCGCAAGCAAGCAAGCGTGCAAGCAACCGCGCAAGCAAGCAAGCAGGCAATCAAGCAAACAAGCAAGCGCTTGAGCAAACAAGCAATCAAGCAAGCAAGAAAGCAGGCAGAGAAGTGATGGGGGGAGGCATAGGCATAGGCATAGCCATCGGAACAAGGGGGGGGGCATAGGAATCAGGGGGCAAGGGGCCAATTAGTGGAGAATGAGCTGCATTTTCTATAGGGCAAGCCTATTTGCAGAATGTCCGAACCCTCCTCAGAAACTCTTTACTTGGTCAGGACGCCTCCTCACTCCACCCCATGACGAACGTCGCCAACTGCCAACACACCCACGCACACACACACACACACACTTGTCTTGGCGTCGCGGCCCCGCGCGCGGCGACGGGGCGTAGAAACCCAGGCGAAAATGTTGAAGCGCGCGCGTTTACGTCCGGTCGAGCACTCAGAAACCATTCAGGGTCTCGCAGCGGGCAGCAGCCACAACAATCCAGGCTTGGAGGGCGAAGAAGGCGATGAGTAGACGAAACGTTTTCTCTGACAGAGCCGACGAACTCGCGTGCCGTCAAAAAAACACCGGGTGCGGCGACAACTCCAAAGTCCGGCCATGCTTTTGGAGCCCTACTCCAAGCGAGCAGGGGTCGTCACGGCGGGAGGGGGGGGACCGAGAGACGAACGAGAACAAGGGACGTAAAAAAAGAGTAATACAAAACACCTGGCGCAGTGTTCAGACAAACCTGTCATAGGCAAGCCGGCGCACGCACGCACGCATCCACGAAACTGACATTCGTGGCTGACATATACATATATGCACATACATATATATCTCTATTTATATAGATATATATATATATATCAGATATCAACACCCGCGACGTACCACGCAAGCTAAAAAGCCCGATCAAACGCGCAAAGGAAGCGCAGGAGGGGAGGACGAGGGGGCGGAGCAACAGCGAAAGGGAGAAGCAGAGGAAATACTTAACGCTTCAACCCGGAAGCATCGGAATAAGAAATAACTTGTATCCGATCGGAGCTTTGCCGGGCTTACTGGGGAGAAAGTGGGGGGCCGAAAGCCGCAATGGCGAGCGAACCGCTCCAACCTGCGTCGCGCCCAAGCGCCGAACAAGGCATTCCAGACCAGAGGGGGCGGCCAGCCAGCCCCAGTCCAGAGCCAACGCCTCGATACCGCCGCCAGCTGGGCAGCGCAACGGCAACGCGAAACTGCACCAAACATACAAGCAGACTAGAAGCACCATGCGTTTGTTATGTTGTCTCCTGCTGCTTAGTGTAAGTATATTGTTGTTTGGATAAAAGGATGTGTATCTATACACATGTGCATTGAGATATAATGATGCATATCGATCTACATGTATGGAAAAACTGAATGCGCCGTCGAACGTGGGGAAACAAAACGTGGAAGAGGGGAGAGGCAAGCCGAAAGAGGGGACTGGAATTGCACCTGCTGCCACGCACATGCGTCGCGGGCACCCGGGTGGGAGACCGAGCACGCCCCAGCGAATCGCAGCCTGTTTTTGTCGGCCGACGGCGCCGCCAGGAATTCAAGAAGGGAGGGGGGAGCGACAGGGGCGCGGGGGGAAGCCGACGCGCACAATCGTAATTATGCTGCCACAGACCGCCTCCTTCGCGGCTCGCGGCGAAAAAGCGCCACCCCTGGCCATCGAATTTCGCCGCGCAGGCCGGGGCGCTCGGGGGCGCGAGGGGCAGGCAGGGAGAGGCAGCAGGAGGGAGAGCGCCCCAAAAAAAGAGAGAGTGAAGTCCCGGCGTCTGCGGCGGCCCTGTAGCCGCTGGCGGAGACGGCAGACGCGAACGGCGCCGACCTGTCGAGGCCGCACGGCGGTCCGCGGAGCATCCGCTGCCCAGCGCTGCCGCAGGATTGCGGCCGCGCGCAGGTGGCCTTCGAGGCCCTCCTAGACGGCCTGCGCCAGAGCCTTGAAAACGTCTTCCTCCGTCTGGCGAGCTCGCGGCCGGCGTGCCGCAGCGCGCTCGTGACCGAGAAGACGGACTAGATGCCCGGCGCCAGGCAGGTCACGTCCTCCACGGACTCCAACGCCACCGAACAGAACGTCCACGAATGCAAGCCAGAGAAGACTTGAGCGCTGAGACGGAGTCTGGTCCCCATGAGCCCCCGCGCCACGCGGCATTGGCTGTAATGCTTGACGCTGTCCTCGCTTCCCTCCAACGCATCGGCTCTGGCGGCGGCGCTGGAACCGCGCCGCCGTGGTCCGGCAGCCTCAGATGCAACCCCAGGTCTCGCAGCGGACCCTTGGGGGACAGGCTTTGGAGTCCCGAAACGGCGCGGTGACAGACCGCGCGATGACCTCGAAATCCCCGAAGACCTCACCGCACGGTCCGTCACCGCACGGTCTTGGGACCCCGAAGCCCCCGTCGCCCGAGACGTCCTCGGAGAGGGCCTCGAGTCCCAAAACAACGCGGTGACCCCGAATCCCCACCGACCCACCGCACGGGGTCACCACCCCGTTCGGGGACTCCCGACAGGCGGGAGGAAGGCCGACAAGATTGAATTTCCTCTGGCGCTTGATGTCGCGGCGTCTGCCGGCGCACAATACCTGGGGCTTGGATTGTCCGCGCACGCCTGCGCCCCGTTCCCGGAAGCGACCTTCCGGGTCGCCCGAATTGTCAGCCACGTGGCAATAAAAAATATATTATATATATAATATATGTATATATATATGTATATATAAAAAATAGCATAAAAATAATTAAAACAAAAAAAAAACAAAAACAAAAAAAACGGAAATTGCTTGCGCCAAAGCGCGCCCCCTGCCGGCGGGACGGGGGAAGCCCGCCTAGCC